ATAATGAAAGTCACACGAAATTAATATTTATAATTTTATGTCTTCGGTGCTAATCTTACATATACAATTGATAAAAATATAACATATATTCTCATCTTTTCAGAGAAAAATATGTACCGTCAACCTAAAATCACTACTACGTATGTTGTGACTATGAAATGAATGAAATGTTATTGGTTTGTATATATAATGTTTGTCGGATTTTTTGTCTTAATGTATTATGCACACTTATAGACTCCTACAATATTATAAGATATTTTTCTTACTTTTTCAAAAATTATTTTAATTAAAAAATTATAAATAAAATCAACAAAAAAATATTTATTTATTTCTAGTCCTTAATTTTGAAAATTCTACAATTCTACAACAACTAACACTTTATCTCTTTTAAAATATTAAAAATACTAATATTTTTGATATGATCATAAAATAAAAATAATTGAGTGGTAGATATGTAAATATGAAAGTTTGGTATTAAATATATTTGAAAGTTTAGGCATTAAGTATATGATTTCATATAAATTACGTGGCATCTACTTCAATGCCCCAAAAATTTATTCTAAGAAATGAGAATTATATAAGAGAAATAGATGAACCTTCTACGGTATATTTGATATTGATCAAGAAAAGCTCAAGGTTGTTTGGACATAACTCTGAAGTCTCGCATAAAGAGCACATTTGGTATAACAACCCATTCCTGGTGGCGCGGGGACTTAACTGTTATTCACAACTGAAGCCATGGAATTAGGAAAGGAAACAGAAGAAGCGATAGCTGAGCAAGGGGACTCTTTCTTTCTCACAACTGAAACCAAGCAATGAGGAATGAAAATAGCTTACGTGTCCTCATTACCCTAATTATCGTCCAAACAATTCTGCCTAAATTCATTAATAAATAGCCTCAAAATACAAATATCCTATTCAGAATTAATCCTCCTCCATTGATCCGTCCTGCTCATAATTCCTTCTCTCACTTGCCGCCCTCAGTCTTCTTTCTTCTTCCCACCAAACTTCTCCTTCTCCGACTTCTTTCTCCGCTGCAGTTCCCGCCGGACCTCCTCGTCCCGTCGGACTTCTACTTCTCCGACTTCTTTCTCCGCTGCAGTTCCCGCCGGACCTCCTCGTTCCGTCGGACTTCTACTTCTCCGTCTTCTTTCTCCACTGTCGTTCCCGCCGAACTTGTCCTTCTCCGTCTTCTGTCGCCACTACTGTTCCCGCCGGACTTCTTCTTCTCCGTCTTCTTTCTCGACTTCTCGTTCCCGTTGGATTTCTCGTTGCCATCCGACTTCTCCTTCTCCGCCTTCTTTCTCCACTGCTGTTAGATACAATACAGTGATCTTTGTTCCTTCATTTGAAATCAATGTTTCACATTATTTAAAATATTTCATAAAATTTTTATTTAAATTTTGCAAATTTTGTTTAAATTTTGATTTTTAGGGACACTAATGGCTCAAGATTACCCATATTTCGAGTCTCAATTTGTCCCCCTCCCTGAATATATCCCTCCCCCCTTGGGTAGCTACAATTTAATTATTTTTATTCTTTTTTTTTAGATTTTTTTCCAGAGATGAATATGAATGTGCTTGTTGTGTCTGTCATTCATAATCATCTACTTTGTGAAAAAATGAAAATACTTAAAAGTGCAAGCGAATGAGTACTCTCTAAAATATTAAATAGTTCGTTATTGCTTTTATTGAAATAATTATTTGTTGCAGAATATGTATTGATAATGAAACATGCGCTGATTATACTCTCGTTATGGTATTCTTTTTATCTATTGTGATATATATATATTTGATTCATTTTTAATATGTTTTTCACACATTTCATATTAATTTTTTTATGAAATAATATAAATTTCTTTATTATAATGAATGTAGGTGAATGGTATAAATAAGTCAGATACTTTGCTAAATATTATTCAAGTTTTGAGTGACTTAGATCTCAGTATTTCCAAGTCATATATTTCGTCAGATGGTGGTTGGTTCGCAAACATATTTTATGTCACCGATCCCCAAGGGCATAAAATAAGAGACTCCAACTTTATAAGACATATACAACAATCCCTTATTGTTGCTGCCCAAAACCAAGTGGATCCTCCAATCCAACACAAGTCAAAATTAGTGATGGAAACATAGTTGTCGTTAATCATTTTGCCTCCAACTGCACCGCCCTTGAATTAACTTTTTTTGACCGACCAAGTATTTTCTCTCAGATTGCGAACGTGATCTTTGAGCTATCATATTTTATGGAGTCAGGAGAATTATGGTCCTACAATGGACATGTTGTTTGCATCCTATATTTAAAGGAACAAAACACATGTCAACCTATCATGGATCCATATAGATGTAATTACCTAGTGGAGCACTTGCCAGTGTTTTGAGGATGCAACACTCCCCCAATGAACTATGGACGGTGAGACTGAACGACTCCACAACATGTCGGATTCATACTGAACAACGTCTACATCAGTTGATGGATATGTATGCATTTATCGATGTTAGTGAAGATAGCAAAGAGGTGTGTTTGCCGCATGTGTCAATTGAAAGTTGGAAAGATGTAAACTACATAGTTGTGAAAATGAGGAGTAGCGATAGACCTAAGCTCATGTTTGATGTGGTGTGTGCTCTAACAGATCTTGATTATAACATATTTCGTGGATCCATTATCTCCCAAGATTCGGTAGCATATCAGGTGGTTAAATATTTTTTAAGCTTAAATTGTCAATTGTAAATGTGAGTTTATGTTTTAATTTGTTTTAAATATAGGAATATTTTGTGCGCCGAACAAATGGGTACAAGATGCTGAATAAAATGGAAAAACAAAGTTTAATTCAAAGTTTGACAGGAGCTATTGAACGGAGAATATCTCGAGTATGTATGAGTTTGGTATTTTTTTTAGATCAATAAAAATATGATATTTTTGTAGGCTAAATCTATATTTTTATATATTTGTAATTGAGTGCAGGGGCTAAAGATGAAGGTGCGTAAATTGGATCGTCATGGTCTACTATCTAATGTGACTATGACATTCGACATTAAGGGAGAATAGCTTGTCACTCGAGAAGATGAAATTCACCACTATGGATGGCTTGGCAGTTAATTATTTTCATATCAGTGATGACTCCTCTTCCACTAATGCCAACGAAATTGATCAGCAAAAGCTCGAGGCAGTGTCTCATGAGATTGGTCGAGGCGTCTACTTTGAAAAAAAGAATAATGAATGCATCACTAGCCCGTCGGCTCCTAAGAAGAATGTATTTTCTTTTATTCGTTCTTTAGGAAAGAGCTTGTGGTTTCATATCAAGCGTTTCATTAGCATTTTGAGATTTGCGAGATAAATTTTTAATTCCATAGTTTATTAATGCCTCTTTTTTGAACAAATATTTGTAGTTGTTCTAATGATTTTATATCGACAATTAAACGAGCTAAATCATAGTAATTTTTATGTTCCTAATTAAGTTGTCAATGTAAATCATGACAACATCCAAATCGAAAAAAAAAAAACAAAGAGGATTTCATCCTTTGGATTCACCTCCAATTTCCACTGTGAATAAATACTCAAATAATATGTTTAATCATTAACAAGTGTTAATAATAATAAAAATGTTGGTTCAAAACACACAAAAAATAGCAACATTTTAATTTGAAAATATCGAAAAACATCTTTTTATGCATTTGTAAGTTGGTATATTTGTAAAGATTAAAGTATAGAAGTTAGGATGTTACGTCATGATTTGATGCTAATGATATATAAAAGTTATCTGTGTTTTTGAAGTGATATAATTTCAAGGTTACCTTCTTTCTATTTATCTTTATCGTATTTCCGTGACGAGATGATTCGCTTAGCTCCTTTGCATGCCAAAATCTATAACTTTCAGTACATGAAATTTCCTTATGCTCTTGTACATATTCTCGTATGTCTTTCACAGGCCTGACTCTGTTGCATGGTACTGCGCTGTTTGTTCTTAGTTTGGTTTTTTTGATGTTGTTATCTTCTCATCTTATAATTCTATATGTAGAGGGTCTTTTAACTCTCCTTAATTGTGTTATAGTAAGAAGGGGCAGAACAAGACAAACTAAATGTTCACCTTTAAATTTATTTTTTTTTTGTAATGAGTTATGAATAAATAAATAACTAGTAATAGATAAAAAAATTTGTTTTCATAATAAATTCATTCGTTGGATATTTAAGAAAAAAAGAAGAATATTTATAAAAGAAGATTAGACGTAATAAATTTGTCCACTCTAAAAAAAAAAAAGGTAAATTTCACATTTATATATTCCTAAGGCTTAATAAAATAGGTTGATAAATAGTAAATATATTTTAATAAAGGGGCATTTACATGCATACCACACTATTCTTTAATATTAATTACATAAAAAATATTTCTCATATTAATTTTTGTAAAGTGAAATGCACATTTTCATGCATAAGATTATGACGCCAAACTATTATAAATGTAAATATCAAAGTTTAGATGCTAGATTTGTAAATTCATCAAAATTGTGTATTTTGTATGTATGTTTTCCTTTTGTTCATCTAAATTATCTTAGTTCTTTGAGGAGAGGTATGCCATGCGGAATGATTTAGAGAAAATTTTCAACATTTATGTTAGTTATGGGGCATTTACACACATACCACCGCCACCCAATTTCTATTTATTCACATATTTGACACCAAAATTTTATTTTCTTACTTTTATACCATCCAAATCTTCCATATCAAAAACCACCATTATAACTTTTAAAAAAAGCAAAATTTTGTGTCACAAAACAGAAGAAAATGGATGAAAGATGTGCCTTCTATTTTAAAAAATTAATATTTGTATCACTTGGTTCGAATGTCGACACAATTAACTCAGTTCTCTAAACGTTTTTTGAGTTAGGAATGTTTAAAATTAAATTAAAAATTACCCACAACTCTTATTTCAGTAAATTTTTAGTCAAGTTGACCCGTTCGAATTTGTTCCAAAATTTTATTCGGGTTCGGCTCAATCTGTTTTAATTTGGTTTGAATTGTTCGTTTTACCTCAGTATAGTTTGAAATTAACTAAATTTTATATCTTAATCGATTAAATTCAAAATTATTCGCTTTGTTCAAATTAAGCTCGTTTAGCTCGGTTTAACTTGAAAATGATATAAAATGTATATAATTTAATAGCAAGTTAGCAACACTACATAAACAAATAACAAAACTAGATAATGCCTAGGAATAAAGTTTAGAATTAATACTCTAAAAAATAGATTCAAATAAAAAGCATCTTTCCTGGCTTTCCTCATATGGGCACCAAGGTAAAAGTGAGGCAATAAATCCTTCATAAACACAGTATAATCATAAATTGTATGCTTTCTAGAGATGGTAAGCTCCAAGCTTTCGAGGTTGGATTCCACATTAGAAACAAAAGAATACTACGATTTATCTGGTTCAACTGTTGTTAGAACATCATAAGAACTGGTACAAAAACTTGTTGAAAAAAAGACATTCATAAGGAGAGAAACATTTAACTCACTTGATATGAGATCACACGCTCTATCCAAAAAGTGTATAGTAAAAAAAAATTCTTCTGAAATGCCAATGAGCTGGTAGTGCAGCCGAAATGCAAATGAGCTGGTAGTGCAGCTATTAAACTTTTTTTCAAAGAAAATGACACAATCTAATCTCATTGAGCACTATCTCTAGCCTTTGTTGATCGATTTTTTAAGCATCAATGGAAGACAACGAATTGGTGATATGAAAAGAGCCAACCTTCATGGGATTCTCATTGGTAAATTTAATGTTCTTGACTTACAAGTTATTCTCTCTTAATGCCTACTGATATTAGAGAGTTGACGTGGCATTTCAAAATAGGCCATTCATCTTTAGCCCGCTCTCACTCAATAACATACATTTAACGTGCAAAAATATCATATTTTTATTTGTTAGAGGTACAAAAATCAAACATACTCGAGATATTCTCCATTCACTAGCACCTCTTAAACTTTGAAGTTTACTTATTTTATCCATTTAAATAAGCGCATGCACCCATTTGTTCATCGTACAAAATATTCTTGCATTATGATTTGTGATTCGGTGAAGCACACATGTTAATCGCACAAGTATACATGTTGATTAAATCGTATACAGATTCCAAAATGAGTTAGTTCTTAAGCA